GGAGCAAGGGGGACAGAGACAGGGGTGGCAGCTGCAGGGTTTTAGCAGGGGGGGACAGCACAGAAACACACAAAGCAGCAGGAGCTGGGCCTGCACTCCAGGACACGGCACAAGCAGCCTGGACCCCCACAGCACAGCATAGGGGGTAGAAGGCACCCAACAGGAAGCCCAGGATGATGGAGCTCACCCCCAGGAACAAGGGCCTTTCCCAGGCTCCAAGCCCAGCTCCCCCCAGGACGGGACACAAGAAGAACCAGCCACTGTCTCTCCTCACCCCTCTGCTTTGAAACGAAGCAATTTATTAAAAACACATGTTATTTCTTAGCATCACCCATCTGTCGGCACTCGAAACCCCGACAGGGATAAGAGAGGGGCTGAGAGGGAACAACAATAAACCATCTGCTGGAAAAAACACACGGGGCTGGGCTGAGGAGGGGCGACATGGAATGGGGACAGAGCAGGGATATAGGGGTGACTTTATGAGAAGAAGAAAGGCTTAAGGGGGAGCGTTGTGGGGCTGCAGGAAGGATGCAGAGGAAGGAAGAAGTTTGGTACCTGGGTTTGGGACATTGGGAAGGATCATGGAGCCATCAGCATAAGAGCTTCATTGGCTGGGAGGGGGGAGCAGGGGGGACAGGGGTGAGCTCTTTGGAGGTCCTCTTGCTGCCTTTCCGGGTGCCAGCCCCGCAGCGACGCTCTGAGGAGGGCAAGAGGAGAGAAACAGCTGAGGCAGCTCGTGGGTAACAGCAGCAAACCCAGAGCCCCTCCTGATGGGATCCAAGCACTGCCAGCTCCCTCCTCCTTCCTACCCCTCTCCAAGTAACCCACCACCCTTCCCAAGGCTGTGGCTACAGCCAGGAAGCAGCAATCCCCAAATGGCAGCTTCCAGCAGCACCAAACATCCCGTTCCCAGCTATTTGTCCCCCCAGTCCAGAACAGGGCTGGCCCAGCAGCACCTTCCTGTCTGCCCGAGGCAGGGATCACTCCCACAGCCCATCGTGCTGCAGGGAAAGGGGTTCCCTGGGTGCCTGGCTGGGTGTGCAGGGGCACAGGGCTCACCTGGGATGCGGGAGGGCTGCACACATCTCTTGTTGCTGCTCTGATGTTGAGCAGTGCAGCTCTGGAGCCCACCCAGGCAGGGGAAAGCGATGCTGTGAAAGAAAAAAGGACCATTTCAAACCCCCAAAGCTCAGAGCAGAGGCTCCCCATCGTCCCCAGCTGCCACAGGGATGGGGGCTTGATCCTCAGAGGGGAGCACAGGCAGGAGCTGCCTTGATGGAGCGCTATGGGGCACAGGGTGCTGATGACTGTCTCACCTCTCCGCTTGCGTCTGCTTCAGCACAGATGCTTTGGGGATGGAGGAATTCTTCATGGCCAACATCGAGATGGGGGCTCTGTAGCCAAGGAAAAGAGGGTTAGTGGCAGGGGATGGATCCTGACCACCCGCTCTCAGAAGGCTGGGAGGCAACCAGGCCAGTGCCATCCCCCTGCAGGGAACAGGGGTCACAGGAAACCTGCCTGGTTTTGTAGGGGAAAGTGGTTCAAACAGGGATAAATCCTCAGGAGATCCCAGGCTGGTTTGGGTTGGAAGGGAGCTTAAAGCTCCTTCAGCTCAGTTTCCCCAGTTGCCCTGTGCAGGAACCATTTTCTAGAGCTATAGGAGGAGACAGGGAGACCTAAGGGTGTCCTGCATTATCGAGGGTGTGCTGATCTCTGGTTTTGGGTGGTCACACAGATTCACCCGGGTCTGTATAAGCCAGGGCCCCTTTGAAGCACCAGCACTAAAAACCACGATGAAAACCCCAACACTGCAGTCCCAGCCTCTCAGGGACCTGCCTCCCAACCAGCACTTGGGGCTCCAGAAGCCATCTGGAGGATGCTCCTCCATGTCCAAAGAGAGAAGATGTTCTTTTTCTATCTTTGCCATTGATTCACACATGAACCTGTCCACAGGCTGGGTGTCTTCTGCCCAGTGTCCCCTCTTAGCAGAGCTGCAGTGATCCACAATGGATTCCCCCAAACAGCAGGGCCACAGAGGGAATAACCCAAACACACATGTAACCCATCCAGGGCAGCACTTACTTGGGCATGAAGAGACCATCCTGCTCTTTCTGGAGGCACTGGCTGTTGTCCCAGACAGAGAATTCAGACAGGCTGATGGAAACCGGCTCGATGGTGCTGGGAGATCTGCTGCCCTCACAGACCTCAAAAGTCGCATTGAGGTCGTGGGCAGGCAGGGAGCACTGGTTCTGGGCAGATGATGTTGCCAGGGGCACCCGGCTTCTGGTGACTGGTGCTTGGCAGGTTTTGGGGGTGTAACACGGTGGCACTGGGGAGCCAGGGGGGGTCTGAGCTTCTGCTTCGAACCAGGGGGTGCCTGGGCTCTGTGCCCTGGGAATCTCCGCTGCTTTTCCACATCTCTTCTGGTGTTTCATCTGCCTTTTGACACTGCAGGAACGTCTTGATGGGGAAGCACTGGCCAGCTCAGACTTTTTCCCCTTAATCGGGCTGGAAGCCATGGGCCCATGGCTGAAGAATGGAGAAGGCTGCTGCAAGCATTGCAGGGTGGCACTCGTCACAGGGGCAATGGGTATGGTAACAGATGCCTTGGCTAAAGGAGCAGGAAAGAAACAGTCACCTCTCTGTGTGCAGCTCCCAGGAAGCCCCAGACCTCAGGCCATCCCCCTCTCCTCCATCCCAGCTCAGTGGATGTCTGCCCAACGAGCCCCGCAGCAGGCATTTCCCAGCGGTGTTCCCATCAAACCACATTAAACCCAGAGGAAAAGAGGCAGCACAAGTAATCCTGCCCCCTGGCAGCCTAAAGGCACCAGGCTGGTTCCAGAGCAACTGCCCATGGCAATGCCTGGGCTCCCCCAGGAGAATGAGGCCTGCAGAGCCCACAGCTTTGCTGCTGGGTTCATGCGTTAGCACTGAGGATGAGGAGGAAGACCTCAGCCCTGGTCAGACAGGGGCTGAGGCTACAGGCAGGGTGACTTGGGCAAACACACCATGGAGGTGTAAAGGATCAGAACTGCTGCTTTCATCTCCCAGAGCAGGAACACCCCTCATGTTGAGGCTGACTTGCACACACAGAGGCTGAGTTCCCCAAGATGAGGGCTGCCCATGGCTCCTGCTGGATACCCTGAATCACTCTCCAAAGCATGGCTGGAGCTGCTCTTGGCACAACCCACTGGGTGGCACATCAGGAGAAACTCGCCTCCCTGCCCTGTCCTGTGCCCGTGGCTGTGAGCTGCCTCCCTCCACCAGCTCCTCCAGTGCACAGAGACAAAGGAGAGGGGCCAGCACCAAATGTCCCAAATCCAAATCCTCACCATCACAGCTCCACTTCATCCTCTTGGCTGGGGTGGCCTCGCTGACCTCCGCGGGTCTGCTCAGAGGCACAGCTTGCTCAGGGCTTACACCAGTGTCCCGAGGGACCAGGTGCTCCAGTTCCTCAAGCACAGAAACCACGTCAGGAGTAAGGAGGTTGGCAGCCTTCAGGATGGAATATAGCTTCTGGATGACACTCAGGATAGTGGCTGCAGGCCTGGGGACAGAGGGATGAACCAGTCAGCAGGTCACCTTGAGCCACTGTCACCAGTAACAGAGGCTCAGCAGCACCAGCATCACCTCTGAGACACCACCTCAGGTGGGGCAGAGCCCATTAGCAGAGTTCTGGGGGAAGAGAAGCAGATTTGAAGCTGTGAGCTGCCCAAGCTGGAAACCTCTTACTACAGGATACCAACTCCGAGTTGTGTGTTCACCTGTGGGTTACAAGGGATCAAGCAGCACCTACAGACTTTGTGCTGGGCTTCAGACACTCATTAGCTTGGCTAGAGACAGATCCAGGCCCACGTCAGGGCCAACTTCCCCCAAGAGACGTTTCTAAGAAGGCTCCAGATGGTGCTGAGGGAGCCCTGCCAGGGCAGGACCTGGGGGAGCCGAGGCAGGAAGAAAGTCTTCAGAGGTAGTTTCAGAACTAACACCACACACTTAAAGCTCAAACAGTTGCTGTGCCTGGAAACCTTCATAGCTGGCATTTCCAGGAGAGATTATTCCATGGGATTAGATCCCAGGAGCCAAATCCCTTGTTTTACAGGGCAGGCAGTCATCCGGAAGCAAAGATGTGGGCCTCTTCATCTAGGCCATCCCCAGGATGGCTCCATGCAACAGGAGGGTGGACAACCCACCTTTCACGGACAACCAAGAGGACGCGGGGAGGGCAGGAGGACACTTACTTCTCCGTGTGTGACAGCCCCTGCAGAAGGCTATTTCTTCCAAGCCTTGGTTGCTTCGGTTCCAGCTGCAGATCTGCCCGATGGGATGCTCTAGGGCTGCTGGGAGGCATTTCCTCTGGAGCCTGGAGCAATCAGCCAAAATTCCTTACCTATCTAGCCCAGGGTTAGCCCATATTTGAGCTGAGTTTGGTCCCCAAAGTGCTTGTTACCTGGGAAGTTAAGGGGTTTTGCTAGCAAACCACAGCCCAGCACATGCTGAGCCAGGACACATGGACCCACTGAGCTCCTGCCCTCTCCCAGCAGGCCCAGTGTACCCCATGAGCCCCCCAGCCTCTTCTGGGCCATGCTCATCATGCCAAGCCCATCCCTGCTCTCACCTCATTCTCCAATTCCAGCTGCATCTGAACAGGCAAACCAGCTTCCAGCTCCTGCTGCTCTCCCTCATTCTCCCTCTGACCATCAAGGGCCAAGCATGTCTCTGGGACAGCTTCCTCCAACCTACAGAAGCCAGAGAAGCAGCCAGTGAGCCAGAGAAAATCCTCTGGTGAAGTACTATTTTGCATGAGAAGTTTTGGGATGGATCAAACAGAAGATTTGGCCTTTGCAACCCAGCTTCCCTCAGTGCTTGTGTGCTGCACTCCAGGTTCAGAACCAAAACCAACCACAGTCAAGATGATGGTGCACACCAGCAGCTCATCTGCTTTCTGACAGGCACCTAGGCTGTGACCAGCACTAAAACTCTGCAAGCTCCTTGATATAAGGGATGCCAGGAGGTCACACACAAAAGCTCTGTCCCTTCTTTTCCCCCCAGCCTCACCTGGGCAGCTGCACTGGGCTCAAGCTGGAGGGAGCCTGTGGTGCTGGCACCTGGTTCTCTGCCTCTTGGGCAGCATCCTCATAAGCACGGAGCTTTGCCCGCAGATCTGCCACCTGCAAGGAAGGATCATCTGCTGCTCAAATGGTTTTACCACCCCTGGAGCTCAGAGGTTTGCATCCCAGACAAACCACAGCTAAGGACAGAGCCCTGCCCTCCCCACCAGCGTCTCACCTCCCCTTTCAGCTGCTCGCAGATCTCGACATATTCACAGATGTGGTAGTCAGAGCTGCGCGTGTTGCTCTTCAGCTGCAGACAGGGAGGAGGCAGAGGTTAAAGCAGCACTGTGGGCTGCAGCACAGACCCTCTCCTGACACTGGAGCAGGGCAGCTCCTCAGCCTCCTCCAGGCACCAGGGTCCCCATAGAGCCCTGGGGTGGCTGCAGCAGACACGATCTGCACTCAGGGACCTACTGCCACAGTCACAAGCCTTTTTATGCTCTGGGCTGAGAGGCTTTAGCAGAAGACCGGGCACACACTGTCTGCAACTCCATCGGCTGCTTTCTGCCCAGGGCTGGAAAACTCAAGCTGGGTAAGGGAAGGCTCCCACTAATCTACCCCACCACGCAGCAGGCTCCTTCCCATCCATCAGCAGCTCCCAAACACACAGCACACCACCACACATGAGCTCCTCACCGACAGCTTGATCTCCTTGGCCCTGCTGGCATATTTGAGCGTGTTGTAGGTGTCCTCGTAGGCCAGCACGGAGGGACTCACTGCTGCCACCATGACAGTGCGGCAGGTGCCACCAATGAATGGAGTCCTTCAGCAGGCGTGTCAGCTTGCTGTCCCGGTACGGGATGTGGCTTTTCTTGCTCTGTCCCAAGAGATCAAGGACCTGCTCAGCTGTTGGCCCTTGGGCACTCAGCTCCTCACCCTGAGTCACAAGGGCATGGCTGCGCTCACCCCCCAGCACCAGCAGGATTGAAACTTGAGGACACCACTCACATCCAGCCAGCCCCAAGAGCCAGAGCCCAGCAGGGCCATGCAAGGAACAGCGTTACCTTTGCATCAGCCAAGGCGTTGATGACGTTGATGAGGGCCAGCAGCGAGCGGTTGATGTTGGCGCCCTCCCGCAGCCGCTCTCCCCTGGTGTTGGCCACCGACGCTCGCTCTGAACCTGCCAGGTCGATCAGGCTCATCTTGGCCACCTTCAGGTCCCGAGTGAGGCTGCCAATGCGGTCCTGCTGCTTCACGTGGATCTGTGAGGACAGAGGTGGGTGAGGCTGCAGCTCAACAAGGCACATGGGGTTGCTGGTTGGAGGCAGCTCAGCAGCAGGGCAAGGGGTTGATGTTTAGAACAGGATGGACAAGTGGATCATGTGGGCTGTGAGGCAGAGAGGAGCCTGGCACACCAAGATGACAAGCCAAAAACTGGGTGACAACGTGAGTAGCAAAACCATGGAAGGGGTCCTGCAGGAAGTGACAGAGCTATGGAAAATAATCAGCACCTCCTATGCTGGGTAAACAAGTAGAGTAGAGCTGGTTGGGTCCCCAAGGGGCAAAATACCAACCCAGAGCCCCAGTGAATTTGGCCAAACTTAAGACACCAATCGGGGGCTACAAGCCCCCAAGACAGTGTCTCTCTCTGCCCCCAAGGAGGCATCAGCCAGGGCTTTCAGTGCTGAGCCCAGATCCCAGCTGGCACAGACAAGGAGGGACACAGCCACCAAGACTCATCTGGCAGCATCGCTCTGTAACTTCCCCTTCTGCATCCCTAAAGGTCTCCCAGGAGAAGCATATGCTTCCCCCACAGCCCTAAAACACATTTGGCCCCCCAGGAGCAACTCCTGCATGGACTTGAGGTGCCATGGAAGTGCTGGAGCCCAGCAACAGGTCCTGCATCCTCACCGGACTGTGGCTTGTCTGCCAGGAGGCAAAGCCGGCAGCGGGAAGGGCAGATTTCCAGCACAGCCGATGGATTCACAGCAGGCAGGAATCCAGCACCCACTGACAAACCCAGCTGGGATGATGGCTGGAAAAGCATCCAGACACCTGGACTTCCCTCTGCAAGCAGCCACGGGCGAGGCACCGGGTTCAGACTGAAATTGCAGTCAGAGCCCTCCGTCTCCCCACGCAGCCGTGACCGCCCTGCTAATTCAGGAGAGGGCCTGGCTGGAATTGAAATCAACTGGCAGGTTTGCATAGGACAGCACCAAGAAACTGGGGAGCATATTCACAGAGCCCCTGGGGGAGTGTAATTCCCAGCTCAGTGCCAAGGAGGACACGATGGAGGAGAGAGCCTGCTCAAGGCACAAGCACAAACCAGTAATATCAGCCCCCTTTGTTCTGGGTCAGGTTTTAGGTACAGCTCCCACATGTTAAGTCAACAAGAGTCAAAAGCAGAGCGAAGTTGCAGCCCCAGGAGGCAGAACACCAAGCTGAGAGCATGGAAGTGGCTGGGAATTGTGGCCACCAGCATGACCAGTACATGCTGTCCTGCTGCAGTGTTGCTAGTGCCCTGTTCAGCCCCATGCCTCTCTTTTCGGGGCTACAACCACTCTGCTTTTCCCCACGGCACACCAGGAGCAGTGGTGGGAACCCCAGGGCTGGCATGGGCCTGCTTCCTAGTCTCCTTCTAAGCACAAATCCCCAGTGACACTGCGTCCAGCAGCCCTCACCTGGAAGATGGCGTGTGAGCGGGAGGAGGCAGCGTTGGCATCGGTGGGATGCTGTGTCCGGTTTTTGTTGCCATTGGCCAACATCTCCAGGAGCTGCTCTGCTGATGCAGGCTGGGGGAAACAGGGATAGAGATGATGCCAGTGTGCCCCATCTGCAGGCACAGAGACAGCCCAACACAGGGCACCTACAACTCAGGCTGATAGCATCCTGCAGCTCTATGGGCCTCGTTTCAGCTCACTTTGCTGCCAGCCAGGAGCTGTGGTGATGGCACCCCCCATCTTCATACACCCCCTATCTCCAGGACACACATCTGCTTTCAAACTGGTGTAGGTGCAGCCCTGCCCATTTTTATACCTTTAGTGCCCATTTGAATACCTACCTGATGGAAGGAGAGGCCCTGAACCACAACTCCTCTCTCAGGATCCTCCCGGATAGCTAGAGGTCCCTTGGGCTCCAGCAGGTCATAAATCTGCTCGTTGTACACCTGAAGCAGGGAACTTGATGTCAGGCTGAGGTTTGGTTCCCCAGTGGTGAGCAGGGAGAGGAGCTTTGTACTCCAGGGTTACACACAACCCTCTGACCCACCCACAACAACCCCTCCAGGACCTCATGACACCGGAAGCAGCTGATGGTGCTCTAGGGGACAGCTCAGGAGGGCTTTAAAGGCAACTCACTGTGCCACAGCTCCTCTAAAGCCTTTCCAGCCAGGAAGCCCTCATTGCTACATGCACCATGGCAAGGAAGAGAAAATTCCACAACTCCAGATGGGAGAAACCAGCAGCACCAGTTCATCAAACTGGGAGGGTGAGCCTGCTTCCAGTTGGGCTCTAGGGCTGCCCTGGGGACACTGGGTGCCCCAAGTGTGGTACTACAGGGTCTGGAACAACCCCAAATCTTAGTGACAGTGACCCAGTGGCAGCAGCCACAACGTACCTCCTGGTAGGAGACTAGGACCTCACAGCTCTTCTCCTCCTTTCTGGCCTCGATCCTCTTGTACAGCTCCACCATGGTGAAGTACATGATGCCAGGGCTGTGCTCCGAGCCCAGCATGGTGTAGGTTTTCCCTGCTCCGGTCGCACCATAGGCAAACACTGAGAGGAGAAAGGGGGAATGGGAATTAATGGGAGCAGCAGAACATCCGCTCCTTGCTGGCGAGGAGATGTGGAGATCTTCCCACAGCAACTCCTGTGGCATGGCTCACTCACAGGCTCCCAGAGACGAGGCAAAGCTTGTTACCCTCTGCACTACCTTTCAGTGCAGGTTATTTCCTCATTTCAGCCTCTCTGATTTAGCAGAGGCAGAATAAGCCCCCGAACCATCGCTGCTTAGATGCTCAAATCACCTCTGAACTCTTCCCTTTAGCAAACCAAGCAGCCCCGTTCCCCCGTCTCTCACTAGAAGGTGTTTCTTCATCCAGCCCTCATAACTCATCTCATTTTTCCACCCCAGCCTTTCAACACTCTCTTTAAAGCACCACCATCAGAGCAGAACACACTAATGCAGAGAGCCTCAGCCCTTCTCCCCAGTAGCAGCGCTTGGTGCCTTGCGACACTCTCATTTGAGGATCCTGGAGTTCTTTTGTGCAGATAGAGACACGAGACGTGCCTGCCAGGTGGGCACGGTGACAGAGGCAGCCTTCAGCGCCTCGCAGAGCACACGGGGAGCCAGGAATAGCATCCTGCAGCGCCAGTGCCCGGCACATGATGAGACAGGAGCGCGGCGTCTCCCGCTCGGTGCCTGCCTCGCACAAGTGATGTGCTCGTTAAGGCACCGTCTGCTGCCAGCCTGCGACGGCACAGGGGCTGCAGCACCACGAGAGGAGCTTTCAGACCCAGCTTCGTGGAGCTGCCAGCCTGCAAGAGGCTTGTGAGGGGCACAGCGTCCCCCAAAGCACCCCAAGGTGTGGCTGCTTCACCCTAGCCCCCACTCTGCAACTCAGCATCCCCTGCGGATGCAGCCCCAGAGCCAACCTGCCTTCTCTGCTGCCACAGGGCTCGGCTGACTCCCATTCAGATCAGTCCCCACCAGAACCAACAGGGCCCTCCCAGCCACACAGATCCCGGCCCGTACCCAGCTCCTGGGTTATCCCATCCCAAGCACAAGGCTTCCCACTTATCTGTGTTAATCTACACATCCTTCTTGTTCGCCTCTCCCCACTTGCTCCACAACCCCTCTCCACCATGGAGCACTATGGGTCCTCAGCACAAGGACCTGTTGGAGTGGGTCCAGAGGAGGGACACTGAAGTGATCCAAGGGCTGGAGCAGCTCTGCTCTGGAGCCAGGCTGAGAGAGCTGGGCTGGCTCAGCCTGGAGAAGGGAAGGCTCCTGAAGGGGAGACCTTACTGTGGTCTTTCAATTTATATAAATGGGGCTCATAAGAAAGTCAGAGAAAATTTTTTTTTTTAACCAGGATTTGTAGCGACAGGACAATGGGCAACAGTTTTTAATTGACAAAGGACAGGTTTAGATTTGATGTAAGGAAGAAATGTTTTATGTGAGGCACTGGCACAGGATGCCCAGAGAATCTGTGGCTGGCCCATCCCCTGCAGTGTTCACAGACCGACTTGGACCCACTCTAGTGGAAGGTGTCCCTGCCCATGGCAGGGGGGTGGAACTGGATGAGCTTTAAGCTCCCTTCAACCCAAACCAGCCTGGGATCCTACAGTAGCACTTCATGTTTTGCTTCCCCTCATTTACCTGCTGAGATTAGACATTTCCATGTCAGCATCATCCCTATGCTCATCCCACTTGCCATCACCCCAGCTTGGTTTCACCAACAACTTTAAGGCTACCGGTTTTTGCACTGCTGGTGTGTGTGTGTGTCCAACTGCTCAACTGCCTGGGGGCTTCCAAAACACATCCACAGCTCTACCAAGCAGATGGGGCAGGAGGATCAAAGACATTTGCCAGGTCTTACCAGAGCAGTTGTAGCCATCGAGGACACTGTCCAACACCTCAGAGGTGGTGTGCTGGAACACCTCCTCCTGCGTGGCCTCCTCCCCAAACACCCGGTCAAAGACAAACTTCAGGTCCTTGCCCTGGTGCTTGGGCCCACGAAGGGGCAGCACGTTGCCGGGGGGACCACCGGGCTCCTCAGGGTTGAGGACAATGACGTGCTGGCCAACGACCTGCAGGACCGGGTGCGTGGCCCGCTCTCGCTCGCAGGGGGCCAGGGGCCG